GCTGTGCCTCGGCTTCACGGGATCAAGCAAGGCATGCCGTCCTGATACCTGTTGCAAACGCCGGGGCAGTACGTACTCGTGTTATGCATCGCAAGTTTGGCTTTGCAAGAGGTCCGGTGTGTGCTCGCCAGTCCATGGCGTTGCTGCATTGTCCCTGCGGATATGCGGCTTGCTCGTCTTGCTGGAAAGGCTTCGTGCAGCAGCAGCTGGCTTCTTGGAAGCCTTAGTATCACTAGACCTTCACAACAACGGTGCGCTCAAGATAGCAGTGAACTTGAGCGAAGGACAAGCCTTGACACGCCGGGAATGCCCATGCGTGCATGCCTCCTCTCTTCGTCTCTCAGCCTTTGAGCGTCCATCAAAAAACACGCTGCATCTGAAATTATTCGGCCGGTGGACAAAATCCAGCACCACCTTGAATGAATGCACCTTACGTATCCTAAACGGTGGAAGCTGTTGGAGCATGTGGACATCAAGTCTTCAGGCCTTCAATTTTTTTACGTAGCTCAGAAAGTCGAGTCAGGTGTGGTGCCAGGAGAACTTCGCCCTGGGCCCTGTGGGATGCCCGTGGCATCCGGGTCCGGGAGGCTGCGCCCAGAGCCTGGGTCTGCACAAACAGTCGTGGTATTGGGTTCCTTAAATCAGTGGTGCGATTGCCGACCTCCAAACTCTCTTCAAATTTATCACGGCAGGGCTAAGCATCTCCTAAATTGCCCGTAAGATCCTTTGACTTAGACCTCTATACTGGCTGCCTAAGTCTGCGACGCCGGAACTTCGAGCTCGTGGTTTAGGAGCCCCCTCTGCCGTTGATAGCGTCGATTTAGGGTTTAGTTTAGGCCTGAGGCTTTGGAGGTTAGGGTTTAGGGTTTATGGTATTGGTATTCGTATGCCCTGAGAGTCCCTATGCAATTGCCCCAAAACCGTACTACTCGAATAGACCCAAAGCGACAACTCCAGTTGGAAGTCGATTCGGCTCATGCACTATTTTCGGGGGCTTGGACCGAGATCCCATGACAGGAAGGATGCTAAATGAAGGAAGTAATCATGAAACCAATAGCTCAACCGTAACAGCGGCACTGCAGATCCTTGCCGAGGGATGTGCTCCCTGTGCTTCCCTACGCCATCACGGTCTTTGCGGAGCACCAGGACCACCTGAAGAAGGAACTGAGGCGAAGACGGGAGGGTTAGGATGACACATGGGTTCAGACTGTCAGGGAGTCGTGCTTCAAGACGGATGACACAAGCAAGCAAGCAACGGAGTTGGTTTCATTCGTTCCTGCATGTTGTATGGCAGATCTTGCGTTTCGAGGCTCCTGGGAGAACTGATGGAAACCATCCCGTGAGACCTCCGAGGGTGATTTAGGCCAGGGACCATGGAGGGGCCTGGTCCCAGCGGTTCAACATGAGGCACCAAACGATGAAAGTATATCAACGTTGTCTATGGGTGTTATGGTACAAGGTCGCTAAACCCGTGCCGGAAGGGTACCGAAAGAATGCTACAAAGGTTCTATAAGGCTTCTGAAAACCCATTCCGCAGCTCGCAAGAGATGGATGCCACGGTCATTTCTGGGCTTAGGGTCTTTAGGGCCTTTATAAATCTCATGGTTTGTGGGCCTCAGGGAACCCAAAGACTTAAACAAGGCTCAACCCCTAACTAGAAATAAGGGTCTCACAATCACTTCTTGAAAAAACCACCTACCTGCAGTCTCCATTCTAGTTCCCTTTGTTGGTTTAACCAATTATAGATTTCGGATTTTATAAGGTATCCCCAAAAAGGAACTACAATGGAGACTATAGGTAAGCGCCAAATCAGGAAGTTATTTTCCGTCCAGGCGCCTGGAGCCCTGCGCCTTGCCGCGTGACTTGCGTGGGCCGGCACCCACGTGCCCCATCTGCGCGGAGGCAGTGGCTGAAAGGAAGGGTTCTGGTTTTTGGGGTTTTGGGTTCAGGGTTTGGTGTGTAGGGTTTTGGGATGTTTTGGGTTTAGGGGGGCTTAGCTTCACATGCGTACGATCCTACACCCCAAAGCCGGACCTACAGCCTGAACGGCATGCAAGTCCTAGACCTCAGAACCCAGCAAAAGAACAACAGGCTAAACCCCGTCGCAGTCTTGATAATGCTCTGCCAAGTCATGTAAAGCGTTGTGGCGCCCTGAATCTGCAGAAGTATTATACAATCATTACACGCAATATACAACAAAGCCTTAGCATGAACCCCCGCCCATGCAGTAGAGCCCATATTCAACAAGGGCTTAACCTAAACAATCCCCCTCCCATGTTTCGTAGATTGTCTATAAACCCTAAACCCCTAAACCCCTAAACCCTGAACTCTCAACCCCTAGACCCTTTAAAGCCCATAAACCCTAAACCAAAAAAGAGCCCTGGCCAGGCATCGCTCTGCCTGCTTTCGCCCTGCTCTTCGGAGCACGTGGCCTGCGAGAAATGCTGGGCGAACTGGGCCGAGGAGCCCGAGCCGAGCTTTTAGGGTTTAGGGTTTGGGG